AGAAACTAAGGCGGAGTGCAATTTTACAATTTAAAGTCAAAGCAAAAGTATAAATTTTAAAAACAAGGTTTTAACTACACACATATGAACCTACACCAATTACAAGTTTACTTTTAATGACGCCAATTCAAGGTTAAAATAATTTCAAAGAGAAATTATCTTCAAACGAAAAATAATTAAATCGCTTGAGGTTTTCACGTGAATACTCAAGCAAATCACAATTTTCTTAATACCCTTCAAGGCGAAATTTAAGCCAAAATGTAATTACTAAGTGGTTTTGTGAAAATAAAAAAAAGACTTTAAAAAAATTGTTATGTATTGAATGGATTTTGCAGATGTTTAAAGTATCTGTTTTGAAAAAGAAAATTCATACTATTTTTGACGGAGTATTTTAAGTTCATATCAATTAAAAACTTGTGCCTTTGGAGAAAAAGGATACACAGAATTAACTAAAGCGATTTAATGATATTTTGAAAATTAATTATACTCGTGTAATGTCGCTGAAGTAAAAGCTGCTAACGCTTTATTTCGTAATATAAGTTAGGTCTTTGGAAACTTCAATGTCTAATATGTGACAGCTTCAATCTCTATGAAATGTATATTATTATCCAACTTTCCTCACTTGGTTCTTTAGGATTGCTTAGAAAATTAAATATTCTAATAGCCGTCGCTTCTCGGCAAGAAATATCAAACACTCTGAGTGTATTACTCATAGAAATCCGTCGGTCATTCGTAGAAGGTTTCACATAAAGAGTGGGTACAGTAGTTACCGAAGTATGTAAGTACCAGAAGGAGGTAGACTGTTCATCTGTTTGTATGCAAACTACTCCCAGAGTTGTCGAGATTTCCACCAAACTTGGTACATATGTAGATGCACTAGTTCATTGAAACGATCGTTTGTCGGAACCATTCAGATTGGATCACTATATCGTATATATGACTGATTTTTCAGATTTAAGATGTGATATTCTACACACGAATATACAAATAAACTTGAATACCGAAATCATAAATTTGATATGGTCATGAGAGGTAGAAAGACTTCAGCGTGACAGAAGACAGCTTTTCTTTCTTTCTAATTAATTTTTATGGGAAATAAAAAAATAATAAATTGGGTTTGTTAAATCATCACCAAAAATCAACAATAAAGTTAAATTAAATTAAAATTCAATAAAAAATTATTCAAATAAAATAATTAAATAATATAACAAAAAAATTAAATAAAATAAATTAAAAAAAATAATAATAAAATAAAATAAAGTATTATATCAGGTGTACAACTTTGCTTCCGCCGTTTTTTTCCAAAATTAAAAGCTTTATTGTTATTCAAAGTATTGTCCTTCGCTAGCGACAACTTTCTCCCAACTTTCCGGAAATTTTCGGATCCCGGCTCGAAAAAGGAGTCCTCTTTTGACGCTATCCATTAAGCAATCCATTTTTCCACTTCTTCGAAGGATTGAAAATGTTGATCTGCCAGGCCTTGTGCCATCGAACGGAATAGGTGGAAGTAAGAAGGGGCGACATCTGAGGAATACGGCGGGTGGGGCAAGACTTCCCACTTCAGCGTTTCCAGGTACTTTTTGACCACTTTTGCGACGTGAGGCTGAAAATAAAATAAGGTAATATAAAATAAGGTAAAATAAAATAAAAAAAAACCAAAAGAAGTATTAAATAAATAAGAAACAAAATGAAACAATTAAAAAAACTTTAAAATTGCATAAACTAAAACAAAAACAGAAAAATAATAAAATAAAATTAGAGAATGAAATAGAGGGACCTACAGTTTGTTCTAAGCCGCTTCCGAGAGGCCGATGTATTTTTTATGAAGAAATTTTTATTTAATGGTAGACTCTGAGGAAGACCGAGGGTCGTCCGCAACTAGAAAAGTTAGTTTGCTGTAATTGCCTTCAAAAAGGCAGTACACAATGCTAACAACCGGCTATTGCGGCCGACAAAAAATTAAATGTAATTTAAAAAAAAAATATTACATAAAGAAGAAAGNTAAAATCAAATCAAATAAAACAATATAAAATAAATTAAAATAAAATAAAATAAAATAAAATAAAATAAAATAAAATAAAATATAGAGGTCTTGTTTACTAGCACAACAATTTAACTTGATTCTTTATTAAAACATATTTTTGGCGACGGCGTATTATTATAGATCAATAACATTGTGAACGATACATAACGTTTAAATGTTTTATTTCTTTGAATGATTTTCTAAATAAGTGTTATTGGAGATGTGTTCCGAAACGGTATAAATTGATGAGTACTTAGTGCCACTATATGATTTTATAGAATTAAAAAACATATGTATACTTACATATGGCTATTTGTACCAGAAACATAATAATCATACACTTGTTCACGAGTTTAATCATCTCAAAGTCAACCAGGTGCAACGCTAAGGCACGCGCCTCTCTTGTCATAACAAAATACATGCATACAGTCATATGTTACCTATGTACAAACTTAAACTTTAAAAGACTTTAACAAAACATCGCAATTAGTTGCACTTGCCTCGATTGTGTATATACTTATGTACATATATTTATTTGTACATTTTTCTGAAACACTATGTAGTTTATTACCATTACAATTTTTTTTGCCGTGCTCATGACACTTTACAAAATGACAATAAATAGTTAGACACACTTTCAGTAAAAGCTATACACATATACACATATGTGCATACATAAATATATGTTTAATATTAAATGTTACGCCTTATGAAAACATCTTATTATTATTTCGAACACACTGGAAGTTCATTTTTCTTATTTTTGTAAGAAATGTAATGGGTTCAAGCATTGACATGTAAAATTTTGTCAGCAGTTATGACATCTTCATAATGAATCTAATCTAAATAAATTGTAATTTTCTCAGGTTTATTTGTGGTTTCTACAAACGCACCAACATTTTTTCTTCTCTTGTTTTTTGCGATTTGCGAAATGTTTTTTTTTTTTGTTTGCGAAAAATGAAATGAAGTGGCTTGCAATTGTCGTTACTTAGACCGTGACACAAAAAATCGGAACTTTCAAATAAAAACATCGTACACACATATGTGTATGTTTAGTGGCGATTGCTTGCGTAATTATGTAATATCTATAATAAAACTCCCACGAAATATTCACCATAAATATTCATAAGTACATAACTATTCATATGTATCAGGTTATGCCTACTCATGTGTTTTAGATAAATATTATTTGCTGAGGAAATTTAAATGAATAACTCAGAGACTTCAATTTTTTATTACTGATTTTTTCCCATTTTTTTCGTTACAACTGCGAAGCGCATACATAAAATAACCACTTTCTTGAAATAATAGCTAATCATATGTACATACATATGTACTCGTATTGTGATCGTACGCGTTTGTCGACCCAGTAATGAGAAAATTTATGAAAATACATACTTATATATGCATACATACATATATGTATGTGCCTGTTTAACAATTATGTACCTTCCGCACGTTATCCACTAATTCAGCGTGATCTTTATACGAAACATACCGCATACCTCTTACGGTAATAGAAATATATATAAATGTATATATGTATATAAAAGTGAGTATTCAAAACTTACAGTAGATATACATATATGTACATAGGTATGTATGTATATATGCATCGCATGGTGTGGGTGGTGGTGGAGAGTGATTTTTGCGTGTGAAAACCGAAATAAAAGAAGCCCAAAAGTAAGAAAAGTTAAAAAATTCATTCGTTTGTTCGTTCACCAAGGGCTTGAAGTTTTTCTTTCCATTGGGTATTTGTACATAGTTTACATGCTTGCCAGACGATAGGGTGAATGAGGTCCAATTACCCTTCCATCTTTTCAATTGAAATTTTAATTTTCAAGGCTTGGCTGTTGATGCGAGCAAGACTCAGTAGTAGTTATTGTTGCCTGGAAGGTTCAAATACTGCCATAAAAATGCTCGGTAGGTTTCCACAAATATGCTACAAGACGTTTTATGCTAAGACTGTTTAAGTTATCTAATATTCTTGTTAGAAGTTACTGTTTTGCAACGGTAAAAAAAACTCCGCCACTCAATTAAGAAGTAGCTTGTTTTAAATGCTGGGTTTTTTGTTTATTTCCATTATTTTTATTATTCTAAAATAGTTGACAACAGCGCACCATTCTTGGTCTTTCCAACAGAATATTTTACTGCCTCTGCTTCTACCGGTAGTTATTGCATCCAAAATTTTCAAAGCTGGAGTATTCTTATCCATTCGATGTCATGGGGTAACTCGTGCTGCTCACCGTTCCCAGAGAACCATATATCTTACGTAAAATCTTTCTCTTAAAAACTTCCAACTCCAACTCATCAGATCTCATCATCAGTAATTCCTCCGCACTATATAGGAGTGACTTTTAGATTTTGGGGCGTCCAAACACAGTCCAAAGTAGTTGACAACAGTTCTTCTACGTTGGATTTCAACAGCATTGTTGCTGGTGTTAATGCTGGTTCCAAGATAGACGAAATTATCTACGACTTCAAAGTGACGTGGGTGCGTAGTCGCGATGACTGTCCTTAGCCCACATTTAATTTGTTAACATTTCTGATACATTTATCCCATTAACTTTACTTCAAATATTTTGTGTCCCTTTCCAATTGGAAAACCCGTTTTCTTTATTTCTAGATACTAAAACTTCCTCCCCAGTGGAATACCACACAACGCCACTGAATCTGCTTGAACACATTTGCGCACACTACTAATAAATTCGTGTACGTAGTAAATTCAAGTTACAATGGATTTTTTGTTGTGGAAAACACTTTCACTGAAGACGAAGGTGCTTGCAACAACAACCAACAAAAAAAATTAAAAACAGAATAAGAAAACAATCGAGTGGAAGTGACGACAATGAGGCAGTGACATGGGTTTAAGTTATACGAATATTCATTCGCGCATGCGCATATGTACTGGTTGATGGCTTTTGGTTCCAGTTGCGCTAGCGTTGGTTTCAAACTTCTTCGGCACTATACAGTTATAGCTACACAATTGAACGTGCCACTTTTAATACCATTTTCGGCAGTGCAACAGAGGAGAACGGAACGGTTTCGCAAAGACTCATATTTCGCGCATTCGAGAAAGACAAAGTCCCACTGCTAAGTTATAGTGTTCTGTGACAAGAAAAAAAGAAGAATTTTAATTAAATAAAGACAATGATCGATAAAAAGTATTATCGAGTGCCATTTCTAAAAGGAATAATTTTATTCTTTTATGTGATCCTACTAAGTAAATCTGAAGGTAATTAAGAAAAAAAAGAATAGCCCGGATACAGTGAAATACATTGCATGTGATATACATATATATTTATCTTTTACTGCCATCGCTCCTAACATCAAGTGATAAAAATATTCGCAGTTAAAAAGGAAGTAATATCCACACTTCATAAGAGACTTTTGGAAATATATTAAGGCCATGGCTAGGTCAAATGGGCTCATCAAGAGTTTTATCGGTGTCTCATTGCAATTCAGGCCGTGCTAACATAAACTAGGCTCTCGCAGATGCTGCTTTACATATTTCAAAATGCAATTACTTAAGTATTTCGTCTTCTACTTCCTACGATTCCTCGAACACATACGCGTATATATCTTCAAAATTGCAAATTTTTGCTTCTTTTTCCACTAAGAAGGCGTGTCTAAGATATTCTCTGTCATCTTAAAGAGCGCTATATATAAGCATTACTTGATTCGGATATTTTTATTTATGTTATTATTATTTTTAATTAAGGCAACCATCCAACCTTATAAAAATCCATTAGCCTTTCGGAGGTTGCTTAGAATAAACTGCAGATCCCTCTAATTGTTGCTAAGCATACTATAAAATCAAAGGAGAGCTCGGCTGAAAATCGCTTCAGCGTTGTAAACGTACAACAATAATATAGTTGGTAATTATTAAATTATTGAGAATTTTTTATTTAAAATGATCTCTTGAGTAGTATTCTTATTTTGTTTTTAAATGTTAAGTTTTGTTAGATCTCAGCGAATTTCCATTAGAAAAAAGTCGACCGGAGTCAAATCAGGTGAATCGGGTAAATGTTTGTTCAATTTTCGACCAGAAATTCTTTCACAGTAATAGTCCTGTGAGACGGTGTATTACAGTCAAAGGTCGAAACGTCATCATTCGAAGTATCATAAGTCATTACAAATCCGCTCTATAAAAGATTCGCTTAATCAATTTTTCAATGACCTTTAGAGGTTTGATTTTTATACAGTTTCTACAGCTCTGAGAGTATCTATTTTGTACCCTCTTATTAGTAGACCACGTCAGATGACTTGACTGGTATGTTTACCATGAAAAATAAGAAATTTTAAAAACATTACTTTTCGTCTTTCGTACATTAATTCCGTGTTTTTTTTTTGTTATTTTAGATGTGATCGCACAGCCCTATAAACAGCAACGCTGCTCCAGTCGCTTAGAAAATGCTCTCGAACATATGCGTCGACGCAGTATACCAGCGAAAAGTGGCCGATCATTTTCCGGTGAAACTCCATACACTCTGTATCAATCTTTTTACGGTCAAAACAGTGAACCAGAAGATGACTTCTATTCTGGTGGCGATCGAGGTTATTATGCAAAAAATATACAGCGTCAACCGCACAGCGATTCATCATATACGCAAGGATTTGAAGATTTATATTCCCCAGACTACAATCGGCGTCAACCCCATAAGTTAGCTGCCGTTTCCAGTGTAGATGTTGAGGATTTAAGAGTACGTTTACCTTCCAAAACAACTAGTGCGCGTTGGGTTGAAGTAGATAAATGCAGATTTAGCACACAAAACTCAACACTCGACACACGCCTTATATTCCCCGATTTAACGATTAGTGGCAAAGTGGTATTACAACCGACTGGTGGTAGATGTCATATGATTTTACGTTTGCGTCGAGCAGGTATTGAATTTCGCACAATACCAATTGGTTTTGAGAGTGCTGTAAATGAGGAGTCACGACGTATCGGTGCCGCTTCAGTGCGAACGGATTCGCATTTTGCCGAACCGGGATTCATATCTGTTTTTGCGCATGGCTGTCAAGGACCGCCAGGCGTGAGATTGCGTCAAAATTCGAAACGGCGATTCAGTTTTGAAGGCGAACCAGTGAGTCAGGCAGCCGTAAAGCCGCCAGCTGTGGAGATATCAGAACCTCATATAGTTTTAGGCACAGCCACACAGTCACAAGCAACCGGTAATCGTTGGCGTAAATATTATAATCCATATGCCTACGATATACGTAGTGACAATTATCAAAAAACAAATCGTCGAAAATATGACCGTTACGGGCGGGAAACGTCAGAAGAGAATATCTTCTATGATGCAAAGGAGGGAGAAAACTTATACGATGCGAATATTCGTGAAAAACGCGATATGAAGAGTTATCGGCGACAAAGAAGTCAATCGACATGGAATGATGAATTCAACTTTGACGACGATATTCTCAACGTATCGGATGATTTGCAAGATTTAATAGCTCCAGACGCCAGAGCTTTTGCTGATCTCTTTCGAGATTTCAATAGTGATCACGAAGGTTTTGAACGAGAAAATGTGCGTGACAGAGATGAGGTGGGAGAAGCATTCTCGAGCGAATTAGAGAAAATATTTTCAATGGGTGTGCGAGGCTTATTAACTACATACATGCAAAGAGCGCTGCAACCGGCAATCAAAGAAACATTAATGGAAAATATGGGTTATACGCTGAGTTATGGCTAAGTGTTGCTACGCAAATTATTTCGCTAGAGAAGTGACAATGTAGTTGTAGTTTATTTATAAATATTTTAAAATAATGTATTACGTTAATATTTAAATTTAATAAATTATTAATATTTACAAGAAAAGTAATTTTTATAGACGAGTGCAAGTTAATACCTATGTACATATGTATGTACGAATATGTCCCTCCCTCAATTTGTTGGAAAACTATTAAGAAATAAAGCACAAATTGAGGAGGAGCTTGATCGAAAATAGCGGTTATTAATAACCAATTGTACATATATGTATATAGTTACCTACATATGTACGAGTATGTATATAATAAAATGATCTATTGTAATATCAGTAAGACATTCATAGTTATATAAATGTTGTACATATTTATATGTTATAAAATATATAATATGTACATATATACATAAATATACGTTTATCAAATAATTATTGATAAATTTGGTATTTCTGATAGAGGCTCCTTTTGAGTTTTAGTTAAAACAGCATCTAAAATTGTAGACAATCAATCTCGGGCTCATATCCCGGTTCCACCAGCATCCAAAGGTTATGGAAAATTAATCTAAATAAAAAATTAAGTTAAATTTTCTGATCCCCCTCGGCAGGGAATGTCCACCCTTCCGAGTGTATTTCGGACATGAAATAAAAGCTCTTCGTGAAAAAACATCAGTCGTTCGGAGGCGGCTTAGTATAAACTGTAGGTCCCTCCATTTGTTGGTGAAACATCAAGACGCAAAACCACAAGTTGTAGGAGGAGCTTGACCGATAAATCGTTTCAGCGGTTACAAAGCGTCAACTGTCGAGTTCATTGCGAACAGACATACCAACACTGCGAATGACTTTGTTTTCTAATATGTGGTTTATTGACAAAAAATTGGGACAATCGATTACCACAGGCTTTTCTTGAGGGCAATTCTTCACCAGTCAACAGATATTACACACTTGGTGTGTGTTCTGGACTATAAGGTGGATGCATAAGAACCTCCGAACTAAGCTGCCGTAGCTTTTGGCAAGTCTCTATTGAGCGGGGTCTGGCGTTGTCCAGAAGAAAAACAATTGGCCACCTGTTAGCCAAAGCTGAATGATTGCTTCCTACAGACGATCCAACTGCTCACAGTACAGGTCCAAATTGAGAGTTTGTCTGTAGAGAAGTATTTCATAGACGAAGATTTCCCGCCAACCCCACGAAACCCGCCTCTATCCTAGCTTGTAAACCGTTTGTGCAGGTTCAGTGTCGTGACCACGACCGTTTTTGTTTGATGTTGCTGCAAAATATCTTCTTTTCCTCACCAGTTACCATCTGCTTCAGTCATGGGTTAATTTTGTTACGATTTAGAGATTTTTTTCGTTCACCCCGGCATTTTTCAAGTGACTCTAAACTGTTTTAGGCAAAGTTTAGCTAGTGGACAATTGAAATAGTGTTCGCATGATCGTCAGGCTCGTTGATTTCCATTATTTTTATCAATATTTTCGACAATTGGCCATCCACACTGTAGAGCATCTTTTATATCAAAATCACCGGAACGATTTCGACGAAACCAAAGTCGTGTATGATTGACAGTTCATACTGTGGTGCAATAACACTATTCACATTTTCAGTTGTATCACTTATGTTTTCACCTTTATCTAAGAAAAGTTGTAGAATATAGCTAATTTTCTTTTATTTCATGTCAACATATACTCGAAGGCAGCCGAATTGATTCGGACCAGAATTTGAGCCCTTGCTTTCCGAATGGCAGTACGCAATGCTAACCACTTGGCGATTGCGGCTCATAATAAAGTATAGCCAAAAAGTTCCATTGGAGTCACTTCAATAAATTTCGTATAAAAATTTAAAAGGTTTGTGGTCGATTGTCGATTTTTTTTTTGTTTAACGGTTGTACTATTCTAAATTTTTATTGACCTTATCATATGCACATGTTGAATTTCTCTATCTTTTGCGGAAAAATATACATACTTTGAGTAAAGAATAAATTTGTATACAACGCTTAAACATTTTTATATAATAATAGGTAAATAATAATGAAGAGGGAAAATAAAAAATAAAATTTCCTTAAAAAAAAATAATAATATTAAAACTGGAGCAAATATTTGGTGGAGTTTCGGTATAAAATGAATTCTGAGTAGAAATTATGTTATGACTTTTAGTGGGTTAGTTGGTTGAAAGAGGGAAGCTGAGGACCTGACCGCAAGCAGCGGCCTAGGCCATTGAGGGCCTAATTGTGCTCCCCCGTGTTGTCCAACTAGGCGTTTGCGAAAAGTTCGTTTGAATTTTTTCCAACTATGTGTGCCCAATCCCATGAGGTTGGAGCTGTCTACTATCCACGCTGCCCCACAATAATTGAGTTGTACGTCTTGTGTTAGGACAGTTCCAAGACCTTAAGAGTTCCTCTATGGTCTGCTGTTTGAAATTACGGTATTTACTTATTTAGTTTTTTGATTACACCAATCCATACCAAAAAGATGACAGGAGTTTTATTCAAGTCACTTATAAAAAGATTAGTTCAAATTCTCTAACATCTACGGATATGTGGTGCATACTTCATATCTACCGTCGGATTTTTAACATTTCATAATAGCTTGAGGTTATTTTACTAAATGAGGCGATGGAGCTTTCAATTAAGACTTGGACTTACCAATTTACGTGTATCCATGAGACTTAATCATACACATTTCCTTTTTTTATATTTGTTATTAGTATTATTATTATTATTTAGTATTTCTTTTATTTAATTTTAAAAATATTTTTCATCGTTTTTTTACACTGTAGTACATTTATAATTATTTTTAAACATCATTTGGCTTAATGCTTGCTTTGAACATACACAAACATAACATTTAATAAAATTCTTATACATACATAGTCATGTTTTTTATTCTTTATAATTTAAATGCAGTAAATCTTAATCAAAGTTCTTCAGAGATATTTAAACAATTTCCTAAATTACTCCGAAATGTATGCTACACTTTTAAAACTCTTACCGTTACTGCTTAAAAGTATATGCTTATGTTGTTATGAGGTTCGAATTTTAGCATCACATCTCTTCTATTGGCAGAAAGGCGGAGCTTAATAATGATGCCCGGTAATGCGCATGTTTGTACCAGCCTCTTTTGTAGTTTTATTGGTCAATATTTGATGTCCTTTAGAGGTTTGTATGTGTAGCAAATATTTCTTATGTAAAAGTATGTAATGTGTTTTTAATAATAAGCTCTGTATATAGTACATAGTATGCAAGTATACACGTGTGTGTAGATAAAAACTTTCGTATTTTCATGAATAGGAGCACTCCATAATGAAATGAAATCCAGGCAGAAGAGAATACAGAAAATGTTTAAAAACCCAGATAATGCACAATTTTGAAACAACATAAAATGGACTTATCAAAATTCCTACCACTTATCTAGATAATACAACATTCCGACAACTCTTTATACTGAAATGTAAAATTATTCTTTCAATACACTGAAAAAACTAAAAGTATGTTAAAAACATATTGAGATTTTGAAATTTCTTAAAAAAATATAATCAAGCAAAAGAAAATCTATTAGAATAATATCGTCTCTCAAAGTTTAATCCTTGCTATTGCAAGAATATACAATATTTCATATGAAAATCAATTATTTGCTACTTTGTTAACACTGTTTACGATTTAAGCATTATTTTTGAGTGGAAGACAGTCAAGAAATAAAATCTGAAGAAATTAAATAATTTAAAAAAAAAAAAATTAATTAAAAAAATGGTGTAATTTTTTTGGAACTTTTTTGGGATTTTTGTAGGAATGTTTTGTTTGGATTGTGTCTTGAATATGTACAATATGAGTTGGATTTGATCGTGTCTGGATTTTGTATTTTTCGATTTTTGTGTAGGGATTTTATTATACATTCTTGATGAGTTAATGGCTTACAAACATTTTTGTTGCTTATACGAATACAAATATGTTAAATAAATACATATGCACATACATTTAGATGCATTTCTTTAATTTCGTAACTTGCTTGTAGCAGCTAAAACATCACCACATCCAATTTTGGAGTCACTTTATACAAACAATTATTTCACTCCTCTAGAAAATTTCGAGTTCCGTTTTCAGCAAAAAACTAACATGCAAGTTCATTATGCCGATTTTTCTATTTTTTATACATAGATAAGATGGAAAACGGGATTGTGTTTGTTTCAGAAAATTGACTCTATACATAATTTGTTATTAATTAATGTAATATTATTAATAACAAAAAAATATTTTATTACATGTACATTTCATATGTATTAATTTTATTTTTAAATTGCAAATATTCTTACGCAGTTCCTAGTGGGTACAATGAAAAAACCCTCCAATATTGTTAGCTATCCCCAACTAGATATTTGGCAGCTGCTTTTGACAACTCCGTTGACGTTTATTATTGTCATTTCAGTATTTGTATATGCTTATCAGCTATAAATTTTATTATTGACGTGTGGTGGTTTGGTATAATTTTCGCGTAAAAAATATATATTGGCAATGATTATTTAACTTCAGAACTCAATAAATGGAGTTCAGTGTTTGAAGTGTAAGTCCTTTCAAATAAGTTAAGGAATAACTTATAAATCATTAAATTTTATTAAGTAAATAAATCGTTTTAATTTCGCAAGTCAGTGAGTTTTTGCATTATGCTCAACGTGAATTATGTTGGTCTAGATGAGAATGTTTACAAATAGTCTGACAATCGTGGTTGTTATATAATTGATGTTTATTTTAAGGATATTAGTCCTTTGTGGTGTAAGAATTAGAAGCAGGTAATAAATATTTTATTTTAAAGAGGTTCTTTGTGAAAAGCGCACATTTTTCAACACATTGACCCTGAGCAAGCATCATGGTCAATGACGTTTGTACAGAAATAACAAATGAAATGATATATTATTATATGTATGTACATTACAGAATAAATTAAATTTTTTGCTTTTTCTTTTTAACGCTTTCAGGACGACATGAAATTTACCTAGTTTTTACTTGCGGAATCATCAAAGAGCACCGCTTTCTTAGACTTAACAAAATTGATCACCATCATTGCATCACTCATCTGAATGTGCTCGTTTTCAACACAAATAATTATTGCCTGTTTAATCTTCATCACTACCGCTACCGCCAATCGTCCTGCACCTGATACAACAAAGAGCTAACATAATGAATCGCATTTCAGTTGCTAGTGGAGCTGCTACCGGCTCAGGTAGTTCTGTGGATGCAACGCCTTATATACGTACCATTGAATGGGATATGATGAACAAAACAAAATTTTTTCCACTTTCTATGTTGAGCTCGTTTTCGGTGCGTTGTTGTCTTTTCCCATTGACAGTGATAAAAACACAATTGCAAGTGCAATATAAGAGTGATGTGTATAAAGGCATGATTGATTGTGCCATAAAAATATATCGATCTGAAGGTATTCCTGGGTTATATCGAGGTTTTTGGATATCATCCGTACAAATAGTGTCAGGTGTTTTCTATATAAGTACATATGAGGGTGTACGCCATTTAATGAATGAAATGGGTGCAGGTCATCGCGCAAAAGCATTAGTTGCCGGAGGATGTGCATCACTCGTTGGTCAAACTATTGTTGTACCATTCGATGTTATATCACAACATGCGATGGTATTGGGTATGGCAGCGCACGCAGGTCCCAGAGCAGATCTAAATCCACTTGGCATAAAAACTGGACCTGGACGAAGTCGATTTGCATTGTCGTTAGATATATCAAGAGAGATTTTGAAGCGTGATGGCTTTCGTGGTTTCTATCGTGGGTATACAGCGAGCTTAATGGCATATGTACCAAATTCAGCAATGTGGTGGGCCTTCTATCATCTATATCAAGGTAAGATAGTTTATAAAATAGCCGTATGTATTGATTGTGCTATATATATGTATGTTTAAAAAATTTAGATGAATTGTGTCGAATTTGTCCACCTTGGGTTTCACATCTTTTTATACAATGCGTGGCGGGAAGTTTAGGAGGATTTACAACTACAATAATTACAAATCCTCTTGATATAGTCAGAGCCCGTCTGCAAGTAAGTATACAAAACATATTTAAATGTTATTTAATTTTTTAATTTTAATTTTTATGAGAATATAAATAACGTATGACTGCTTTAGGTGCAGAGACTGGATTCAATGCGCGTAGCATTTCAAGAGTTGTGGCGAGAGGAGCACCTCCACTGTTTCTTTAAGGGCTTGTCCGCGCGACTCGTGCAGTCGGCGGCATTTTCGTTTAGCATAATTTTAGGCTACGAGACAATAAAACGAATAGCAGTTGAAGAGCAATACAAGCATCAAATACGTTGGTAAATTGGCAACAAATGCACAACTGTAACCACCAATAACTTAATTGATAAGTACTCGCATGAAATTTTCACAATCATGTCTCACAACCAGTCTAAATGAATTAAATAAACACGCCAAAGAATGCAATGATATTGCTGTTTTGCTCTGCAGTAACTGTTAACAAGAAATTGAAGCCCCTTTGTCTCACACATAAATATTTATCAATGTATTGCATCACCGGACCGGCAACAAACAATATATTTATGGTTACATATACATACATATATGTATGTGTGTATTTAAATAATCAGTAAAATATTTAGGAATAAATAGAATAATGACACATATGATTTTATTTGATAGCCCTCAAACAATTTTAAATTGTAGTTGCTGAAACTATATTCTTGTGTAATTTTAGTCAAGAGACGTGAAACACAATTCGTTGTAATTATTGCTTAATATGCGCAAACTAAATAGTGGTTAACATAGAGATTTTCTAATAAATCAATGTTTGTATTTTAGTTTAACAATGCTTAGCTAATTGAATGTAAACAATTCTTTCTTAGCTCAAATTAAACTGTATTTTTTGTTGAATCGTTTTAAAAAAAACATAAAATGTTACGAATTATTTTTCTTAAGAATATCAAAGGAAGAATGGAACTAATTATTTACCATTATTATTATTTAATTAGTAGTAATAAACTTAGTATAAATGTTGACATGTGAAATTATTATGTATGTGTTCTAGAACTATAAGTGCAACTGTAACAAATATGAAAAAATTAAGTCAAGATTATGAAAAAAAAGAATAAAAAAATGGTTACTCGGTAATAAAAAGAAATTAAATATTTAAATGTTTACAATAGAAGTTGGAAAAATGCAATGTGAGTATTATTCGGAATATAATACCCTAAAACATAGATTTATAATGACAAAATAATGTGTTTATATAATATGAATAACCAAAAGAGGTCATTGCATCTTAAATTAAAAAAAGGTAAAAATACTTGCGTTTATTCATTTGATATATATTAAACGAAATTTTAGGAGATTATTTCCGGAAATGTATGTAGCCGACGTTATTGTGCAATTTATAGAAGGGCGTTGGTGGAAAAAAAAATATAAACAATATTCGTTGAACTATAAAATATGCTGACGCTTTAGTTGTAATATATGTATGAATTTGTCGATGTACACTCACAGTGGTTAGTAAAGTACAATTGTCAACCACATTCATGTACTTAAAGATATATATTTTAATATCTGCTAACTACTTTATACCTTTGTAGATTGGATTAAAAAATAAAAAAGGAACCATAATAATAATCAATTGGTGTTTTTAATTTTCTGGTTGGTTTAATGATTAAGCACGCCTGTACATTAGGAGGGTATCATATGAAACGCTTAGTTCTTATAGATTTTAGAAAAATACTTAAAAAAAATGAAGTTAAAGTTTAAAGTAAGTGCCTGTCTTAAAAGTAAAAACCACTTTCCAAAAATCAAGACATGCATACATACACATAGTGCTGACCATATAACGCAAAATTGCTGTCATAAGCTATAATAGATTTTTTGCCGTTAAATTGTTAATTTTTTTTTTGCATATTGGTTAATTGTTGTATTTGGCATACACATTTTTGCACCCGTAAGTAACTTGAAACATTTAATCAGGGCATTGAACGTCAATAACGAGCTTATAAGAGGGTCTGCTACTGTTATATGAATACTTAGTTAGCACGGAAATTCATCGTCGTTCAGAATTACATTCAATACACTAATACTTCTAAATGAAATATCGAAATGTGTAATTTGAAACACGGCACATGGAAATTGCGAAGATAAATAATATTTTTCTTACATTAAATAAACGAAAATAACAACTAAATAGATTTCACAATAAATTGCTTTGGTGCATTACTTTCTGATGGCGGATCATACACCAGTGTGTCTTTAGCTATCGTGAAGCTAAAATATCATCAAAAATCATTTCGCTGTGAATATTGGAAATGAAAAAAGTTATTTAAATTGTTTTAGTATTTCTGATTTGAAAATGGTATTCTATCGTCAGCTGTGTTATTTTTTGTTTTGTTTTTAAGTTATATCGAGTTATCTAAGGAAATAGTAGCCGTGATTTTATTCAATTCGAAATATTTGCATATCACAGTTGCTGTTTCTTTTAGATAGCTCTTTTGTAAGCATCCAAATTGTTTCAATGTGAAATTCTATGAACCAAGCTCCGCTAATTGGTGTTTCAAATTGGTTTTGATATGTGAGATATACCAAGTTCAGTTTTGTTTAAACAATTTCCTTCGTTTTTATATCATCACTGGGCTTTGTTTATCTCATAGTATTAAAATGTAAACGGCGCATTATTACAGTTTCAAGGAAATGAGATTCAGACCCTTTGACAGTATTTACATTCGCTGAAAAAACTTTATAAGGTAATGTGTATAAAAAAAATAAATACTCTAATTGAAAAAAAAAAAAAAAAAGATTCGTAGCGTAATAAAAACCACACTACATTAACTCTACCAAAAGCATTCATTTATCTTTCAATAAAAATCATTCAATTTCTTTTTACAGTACAAAAAACGGCAACAGCGCACTGGTTGCATTTTTCCTAATTATGCCAATATCCTGTGTCTGGACGATTTGCAATTTATGAAACCGAAAATCTCAATACAATATCATACCCAGTAATGGCGTGCCACTGATAGCAAATCAAAGAGAAATTCTTTTAAGATATTAAATATATTTTAAGTATGTATACATTTATTTCCTTTACATTGCATATTTACCCTTGCCAACCATGTTGCTAATTAAAATATTTTTTTGCATAGTATGCATAACTGGAAAGTGAAAACTTTGAAAAAAAAAAGAAACAATTTGCCTGATTGCTAATTAGTTCTTATGTATGTATATAAAAATTCCATACTGTCGCTTTTATACCTTTAAGCGAACATCTTTCGAATCATGTAGTTAAGAATGCCACCATTCTTATAGTACGTTATATCAACTTCTGTGTCGAAACGCACAATTGTATCGAAAACAGTGCCATTCGCCTATATTTGAAAACAAAAAATTAGTTATGATTTAAGCGATTTAAGTAGAAAATTAGTTAAGATACCTCGACTTGTATCTTCTGTCCTGGTTTCAGTTCGATTTCTGGTATTGTAATATTGAATACCTCTCGACCATTTAGATTGAAAGTTTCAGCGTTTTGGCCGGGCAAGAATTGTAGAGGTATAATACCCATACCAACTAAATTGGAGCGGTGAATACGCTCGTATGACTCGGCAATAACTGCTTTGATCCCCAATAACAATGGTCCTTTAGCGGCCCAATCACGGCTGGAACCGCTACCATAATCTTTGCCTGCTATAAGCACCAAGGGTGTGCCATCTTCACGATAACTAGACAAGATCAATATTTTCTTAGACTTATACAAAGCATATACTTTGGAAATATTAAAGACAGATTTTGAAGAGTACTTACCGGTCAGCGCAATCGAATACATCCATTTCTTCATTACTTGGCACATGTATGGTACGTGGACCCGTCTTGCTTACCAATTTGTTAACCAAACGGATATTAGCGAAAGTACCACGAGCCATTACAGCATCATTACCACGTCGTGAACCATATGAATTGAAATCACGTGGTGTTAAGCCACGTTCCGAAAGATAACGTGCAGCGGGTGAGTTCCTAGCAATTGAACCAGCCGGTGATATGTGATCGGTAGTAACGGAATCGCCCAAAAACAATAGACAGCGTGCATTTTGTATGCTCTTTAGTGGTGACAATTCACGTGTCATGCCATCAAAGAATGGTGGATGCTTAATATAGGTAGAATCGCTATTCCAAGGATACAATTTGCTTTCTGCCACATTAATTTTTTGCCAGTCTTCAGAGCCTAATGTGATTTTGCCTAAATAAAAAATATATTTAAATTAATTACAATTATTTAATTCCATGTTTCTTTTACAATGAACTTCATACCATAGACTTCTTTGAACATAGCTGGAATGACGTGTTTGCTTTCCACATCCTGTATTTCACTACGGGTGGGCCATATGTCACGCAGGAATACCTTCTCGCCATTTGGCCCTACACCTAAAGGTTCGGTCTCAAAATCTATATCCACACGACCAGCTATCGCATAAGCAATAACCAACAATGGACTGGCTAAATAGTTGGCGCGCGTATTTGGATGTATGCGACCTTCGAAATTACGATTTCCTGACAAGACACCACAACAAACTAAGCCATTCTTTTCGATTGTATTTACCACGTTATCGTCCAATGGGCCAGAGTTACCGATACATGTCATACAGCCATACCCAACAATATCAAAACCTAATTTTTCCAAGTAAGGAATAACGCCAGATTCTTGCAGGTAATAAGTTACAACGCCTGATCCCGGTGACAATGATGTTTTGATATAAGGCATCACAGAAAGACCTTTCTCCACTGCTTTTCTGGCAAGCAGACCAGCGCCTAACATAACCGATGGATTGGAAGTATTTGTACAGGATGTAATTGCAGCGATTACGACAGATCCATGACGAATGGTGTAACTCTTGCCATCATCCCATTGAAATTGGCCGGCTGCTGATAATGTTTCTGGCGGAATTGCAAAGCCTTTAAAGCCAACCTATAGAATAGTTCCACAATTTTACGTGCTTTTATATATACACATATATTATTTTGTTTTTTATCTTACAGGATTGACCAAACATGACTGGAAGTCACCTTTCATATCTGCAACTGCAACGCGATCGTGTGGTCGTTTTGGACCCGAAACAGAAGTAACTACAGTCGACAAATCAAGCTCAAGCGTCTAATAGCATGAAAAATATGAATGTTATACAAAAACTAAAAAATTTGAAAACAACTTTGTGTAAATACCTGTGAGTATTTCGGGTCCTGTGAGACATTGTTATAGTCACGCAATTGACCGGTTTCTTTTAAGTATTGGCGAATAACTTCTATTTTTTCCTCTGATCGATCTAATATAGAAAATAGGAAATGTAGTCATAAATTTTCTAGTCTCTTTACAGTTTGCATAATACGAACTTGTTTGCCTCAAATAAGCAAGTGTATTTTCGTCAATGGGGAAGAAACTGACCGTTGCTCCATTTTCAGGTGACATATTACCAATGGTAGCACGATCAGCAATACTCAATTCTGCTACACCAGGTCCATAAAATTCAACGAACTTTCCCACAACACCCAGTTGTCTTAGATTTTTCGTAATAGTCAATACTAAGTCAGTTGATGTCACAAGTGGTCCCAATTTACCTACAAGCTTATAGCCCACAACCTCTGGCAGCAGCATGGATATCGATTGACCCAACATAACAGCCTCCGCTTCAATACCTTTAATGACAAAAATAGAAATATATGCATATATGTATTCTGGTGATCAGAAATAACTGCAACTTACCACCAACTCCCCAGCCCAGTACACCTAAACCGTTTATCATGGGTGTGTGCGAATCCGTACCGACAACACTGTCGGGATACAGTAATTTTGTGTTGCCACTACCCTCCTCGAATACAACACGCCCCAGATATTCCAAATTCACCTGATGTACTATACCTGAACCAGGTGGCACAATTAGCATATTATTGAAAGCACGGGCACCCCACTGTTGACAAAGAATAAACATGATTTTTTGTAATTACATTAGTAAGTTATATGCAGAAGAATACTCTTTTTTAATACCTTGAGAAAAGTGAAACGTTCTTTGTTGCGTTCAAACTCCAAATTTTCGTTCTTTGTCACTGCATCCGGGCTATACGTAAAAATCATAAGTTAAAAAAGAGAACATCTAACTATAAAAATGGTTAAACCTTCGAGTGAAATCCACTTGAACCGAATGATCGATAACCAAGTCAGCGGGACAAATAGGATTGATCTTCTCGGGATCACCGCCAAGCTTTAAAACAGCATCACGCATTGCAGCAAAGTCAACTACAGCGGGTACACCAGTGAAATCCTACGAAATATATAAGTATGCACATACATACATACGTATATACATGTGTTATTTAATTAAACGTTTTTAATATATAATATATTTTTTTAACTAAAGTACCTGTAAAATAACACGCGCCGGTTTGAAGGATACTTCAACATCATTTTGACCTTGCTTCAAATTTGGAGACCAAGCCAAAATGTTTTGAACATCCTTTTCGAGTACATAGAAATTATCGCAGTTTCGCACTGCCGACTCCAAGAGCACACGAATGGAGTATGGTAGGTGGCCTATTTAAAGATAAATATACTTATAATTATTATGCATGGCAAAGTATAAAATATGTGCAAAATATTTATGCTTATTATACTAATAAAAATGGGAATATTTTGTGATTTTTGATAACAAGATAATGCACTGGTTTTTTCAATAAGCTGAGATAAGATTCAATAAAGCTATTACGGTAGCAGTAATACTTAAAATATATAAGATAAATTGCTCTTCTTTTATTTGATTAAAAATAAATAATAAATTATGTAACAATAAGTTTATATATATGTTGCATCTTTTATCGCGTCTATTATTCAAAACAGATTGTGTTAATCCGTACCTACTTAGAATTTTCTTTTCGCCAAATCATTATGAGCGATAACAAAACACAAGCGGCGCGCTTAGCATAAAAACACCCATGTGTGTCTGATTTAGTTTTGGTTTATAAATTTATCGCCTTATTCTTACTTGACCTTTGAAAACGGGCTTGAATAACTTCAGACACTTATCAATACATACATCACGTAGGCATGGCTGTATGTGATGATTCTAACGGTGTGATTAAGAGGATGGGCCTGCGTACTTAAATTTTTTGCTCGTTTCTTATATAGTACAAAGGTTTGTTCTCATTAAGAAACTTTCGATAAACTTTGTATATAAACAAGTATTAGCATAAGTCAAATTAATTAACAGGCTGTACCATATGCAGTTCTGTTGAATATGCACTCAATTTTTACGCTTACCTACATAGATTTACGTATGCAAGTATAGGTTTATGCGTAAAAAGCCACATCATTGCACAAATTCTGGTTTGGATAAGTGCACTGATTTGATAATGTTAAGGTGTAAAATAAAAGTGTATACATGTACATACATATGGCTTTGTGTATGTTAGTATGTGCACACAATAATTAAATACTTTTCTGTCTTTATTTCAAGAAATCAACATAATTGAAAACACTTACTGTAGTTTGGATCAATCGAAGACAGGTCAAAGTATTTGTATGTTGTTCCATTTAATGAAAATGACTTCTGAAATTGCGCAAAAGGATTGGCACCTGTATTCAAATACAAATAAGACATAATAAATTAAGTGTTATGCATTATTAAATTGTGAAGATATACTATATATCAATTTTATGTATATGTATACAACAAACATACCGGCCATGTTGTTGATATTGTAAACTTGCAGAAAATTAATGGAAAACTTGAAAGGCTATAAAACCAATACTCCCACCGGTGGGCACGTCCGAACACAATTGAAACTCCCGAGTGAATGGCAATACCGGTGGAGCTATGCGATAACAAGCGAATGCGTATTTCAAAGCTAATTCAAATTCTTCAATGACTGCAAAGCCAGCGGTTTTGGTTATCAGACACTTGGAAATAAAAAGTTGCACAATGTTATCCATTCAGATATAATAAACATTTCACGGTATATGAATCGAAATGTTACGGCGAATTTTTTTAATTATCTGATAAAATGCAACCATGTGGCTGTGTTCAATAAGTACTCCATATGTACAGTTTACAAAATTTTAACCGTAATTTCAGAAACTAAATTCCAGATAAAAGGGTGCAAACACGCAATGCTATTTTATTTCTGCAATTAGATAAAATTGAATTGCAGAAACTAATTTCAGGGTGGCTACTCGCCGATATTGAAATTTCATAGCAATGTGTTAGGAAATAAAAATTGCGTGAAAATTGCTACTTCTGGAGGTATCTTAACACAACAATGACGGTTTATGTAAACGCATGTTATAATGTTGTTCTTTTATGAAAACTTAGATTCACCTTAAAAGGTGTCACTCAGCTATTCTGTTCAATGAACGTTTATAAAGTGCTGTCATACACTGTAAAAAAATAGTTTTGTTCGGTGAGCTTATGGGCAGTAATAATTGTTATCAATTTTCACTGAGCCGCTTTCGGTGATCCGACAATTAAGTAAATTTTACACCGAGAGAGCGCAATTCGGACATTTAGTTACTGGATAACATACTGAAACTTTCTTTCTGCGATTATAGGAAATTAAGTAGCAGAAGCTACTTTCATGGCGGTCATTAGGCGAAATTGAAAACTTTCCTTCCTTTCGGCAGCAAAAAGCGTCTGTTAAACTTTTTAATTCCACATATTCATCTTAAACAATATTCAGATTTTATAAAAATCTGAAAATATGTAAACATATTTCTTCATTGATTGAACAGATATATTTTCCTTGTCTAAAAATCATATTGTAAGGTTTATATTTCCTGTGTCAAATCCAAAGGATATTTAATATTTACCGTGCTCTTCGATTAGATTACTTTGTAACAATCGTAAAATAAAAATTAATATGGAAATAAAGAACAGCTTTTTCTCCACTTTGTATCTTTATATATTTTCCAACAAATGGAATGACGTAAGTTTTTTTTCTAAATTGCCTACGAACTGCCGATGAAACTTATGAGGAGGTTTTATTTCATTGACATTCCTTCCCGAGTGGCGACAGCAATTAGAAAAATTAATTTCCTATAATTTTGGATGTTGGTTGAACCAAGACTCGAATCCTGGCAATGTTTACAAATCGCCTACTGCGGCTGCTTACATTAGGGATTAAGTTTCCATTGGCAACCTATGTATGTATGTATGTTTTAACATAATTTGAAGGACATAGTTTGTTGCTGTGGATATATGCTTTTATACAATCTTCTAATAATACTTTGTGTAATCATTTTAAATTGTTGTATTTTATCAACCATGAACCTGTTTAAAAATTTTTGAATCTACCGTCATTATTTCTTCACACATACATGTGTATATCTACATACAAACATAACCATGAAAGTGTTATATTTGATTAGACATGCAAAAACCCTCATCCTTACATTCTGATAAGCTTTTAGTAATTGATAAAATTTATAAAGCGATTAGTCTGCCGGAAAAACACATCGAAATTTGAAGCTGATAAAATTTATTTAAAAACCAATTAACAATTTCTCTTCATATTACAAATATTAAGCTTATTAACTACAACTGTACGAATATTCTTAAAAATACTTTATACATATATAGTTGCTTTGATTTTAATCCATTTCCAAGGCCATATTTGTACTGCCCACATTTGTCCTACTTTGTCCTTCTCTGTTCTTCTGAGAAGTTGGGTAATCTTGAGAGTATGAGCTACCAGTTGGTGGTGGTACCGTTGGTAGATCCACGGATTTTCTTGTACCTTAAAAAAAATACCGAGCACATGAAAATACACACTAATTTATTTATTGAAACAATTAACTACATTATTAAATAGTTAAACAACTTACTGCAGCAACCACCCATTTTGTAAAGCAAAGAAAAGTGATAAGTTTTCAATCGCCGACGACGGTTAATGATAAACTAAATGGCAGAAACCAATTTGATAACATTCAAGCGCTACATATAGACCAAAAATAAAGAAATTTAAGCCCCAATTGATAAGATTTGCTGGTAAATATATTTTCACTCTACGAAAAGTAATTTGACTGCAAAATATTTTTTTAGCAGAAACAATTAATGGTTTGTGTTTTTATACAAAAATAATGACAGATTATTTAAGACTATCCGTGAACAAATATTTTGATTTAAGAACAGATTTCGGTAGCATTTCATATTTTTATAAAAAATGTTAAGAAAATAAGAAATTTTTGTGAATCATTCAACTTGAAAGATATTTGCTCTGCAATAATACAAAAAATATGTATTTATCTACTAAAGCTAAAATTGATAAATCGTCATAATGTAAATTCATATCATTTTAAAAGTGTGCATTATCTTCTTATAAGAGATAAAAATACATGTAACACACATATATTACATATTTATTGGCATGTAACCATTCGCTAGATTTAATAAACAGATATGAAGGCATGAATATTCAGCTTAGTGATTAAAAGTACGTACTATCATGCGGCAGGTCATGTGTTCGGGTCTTGGCCGCAGCAATATTCAAAGTTATAAAAGACTAACAGACCCGACGAGCTTGCATCGTTTTACTGCCATAACCTCAGAGTGATAATAAAACAAAGATAGTTTAAGTTTTAAAGTTCATTTTTTGAATTGAATCGAAAACAAATGGGAACTATAAATAAAAGTATCTATATATTTATTAAGAAAATCTTTATAAATTTATATTTTTATTTATTTATTTTAATAAAACTTATTTAAAAATTTTCTTGTTCGATTGAATTTCAAACAAACCCGTAAATAAGATTTTTTAAAATCATTTTCTGCATTTTAATCTGTATTAAAAACTACCAAATTCATCGTATATCTCGGCCCCTGGTTCATTTTTTGTATTGGGGATGAGAGGTGTCATTGAAAATAGTTTCAAGGTGATTTCGTGGATTTGATTCTAAATAACAGTTTTGAAGATTTTTTACTTTTACAAATAGAAATGGAAATATAATATAAACAAAAATTTCGTTAATACTTTATACTGAGACGAATTGCATATATGAAATGATATTTTGGATAATATCATTTAAGGCAAAAAACTGAAACTGCCTTAACTTCTTGATTCTCATTTCAAGAAGTATATTTTATTGGAAAGCTTTTCGATTGTATTCCTACAGGCCTATTCTGTCGTGACAATAAAATTTACTTTGGTATTAATATTTACCAAACAGTGAATTTTTTACATTTCGTATTCTGAGTTCACTGTCACTGTCACTTTAAATTTTTTTACCCGCGAAATAGGAGGTAACAAACAATCTGCTGTTTGATTTTGTGTTCTTTTTGTAATAAGAAAATAAAAACCAAAATGTGAAGGGATATCTTACGTCTAGAATCCAATAAAGATGAAGGAAAAAGTGCAAAAAGGCGCATATTAAGAAGTTTACGAGAAAACAAATACCCTTTTAAATCGGCAGATATCGTTTTCTTCAATTTTTTTTCGTCCTAGCATATTTTCCAATATAATAAACACATATATTTATCACTTATTTTTTTTGTTATGCTCCGTCTTCTACTTCTTTTTATAGTGTAACCTGTGCGCTAAAATGCCTTATTTAATTTCGGGTGTTAAAAAAGTAAGAAAATTTAATTTACCAGTACGAAGAGAATGGTATTTGCTTTAAGTTCGTGAATCGTTGCAACAAATAATCTACTCCACTTCTATCCCACCATACTACAACCCTGATTATTGTTTTTCTCATTTTCTTTTCAACATATTCGCTATTTGGTTCGTAATCAAAATCCAATTCATTCATTGATTTCAGATTAGTTTTTGGAGCGCTGTCGATGAAGAATGTATTATTTATAAATGCTAATAATAATCGAAGCGGTTTATTGTGAAGTGCTGACATAACAGATGTACATTCATTTGTGTTATTAAAAGATACACTAAAGAGTGAATATTAGAGATAGCTTTACGAATCGGCTTTTTGTTTTGTTATGATTCCGTAATTCTAGTAGAGAATGTTATCATCATATTATTTACTCTCAGTTCTCTGCTAGTTCGATGCAAAAAGAGCGCTAAAAGAGAACGAGTATCTTTGCTGGTGTATCTTGTATCTTGTATCTAGACAAATCATATCTATCATCCGTGTTTGACGTTTCTACCAAATGTCAGTGAAGTGAAAATAAAAAAAAAATAAACGATAAGTGAAAAAGATTTTGATATCAAATTTGCAACCAGGACTAAGAAGTGCTACTTGATTGGCCTGGTAAGCTTAGGAAGCGTACTTAAAATTATTTCTTCGAATTGAGCCGTCTACATAAAGCGTCACTTATAAAACAGAAAAAAATTAATAGAAATTAATTATTTTTACCAAACGCTGCTGTTGTAGCCAGCGACTGCAGTGATGGACGACGAGTTCAAACTCTGCTGGAAGAACTTCCAGGACAATATAGCCAGTGGATTTCAGAACTTATACGACCGTGGCGATTTGGTTGATGTTACACTTGCTTGTGATGGAAAATTGTTGCACGCACACAAAATTGTACTAGCTATATGCAGTCCATATTTTCAAGAAATTTTCATAACAAATCCCTGCAAGCATCCCATAAGTAAGTAAATTAATAAATTGTGATTTTTAATATATATTATATATATATACATATTTATATACATATATGTATATATTTAGGTATATAGGTATTTTTATATGTACATGTACATTACCTAAATAAAATTAACAACGCACAACAAATTCAATAAAAATGCACTATGAACACTACATGCCACGAATTTATGGTTATCGATATTTTGTAGTATGCTCACATACATGCATAGTATGCATATTTTTTTCTTTAATAGAAACATTTTACAAAACAAATTTTTGATCAAATTCTAATGTATTCATTAAATAGTTAATGGCATTGTTCAAAAGCAAATATCTAATGTCCTCTAGTGGCTGAAAAAACTTGACTTTTTTATTGAACTACATACAATTAGTAACGAAAATTGTTTATGCATGAGATACATTTGAATTCTAAACAATTTTAATGAATTCTCCTTGTATATAAATGAGTCCATATCTAAATGTATTGTCCTAATATCTTTATCTGTCCTTATTTCATAAATTAATATTAAAATTGTCATTTTGAGAGGGTACAGGTACAGGCTCTTTACAATATAAAAATTATGTTGAACACATTTTGAAAATCATTTTTTATATACATACATACATATGTAACTGCAAAAGTACCTTGATATGTATGTATATCAATTTTATCATGTGTATATAGCAAAAATGTGGTTTAAATACACTTTAACGTAATTTATTGTTTATAATGTTTTTTGGTTCTTTTTTTTTAATTAGTATTTATAATATAGAAATTGTTGATAAATCCATAAAATTTACTGTTTTTCTAATGTGGATCATTTCCAGAAGTCACACCCATGCTTATATATATGTACATTTGCATGTAAATTCTGGTAGCTTCGTAGAACCAATTGTTTTTTAATTCGCATTTCAAACATATAAATATAAAAATCTATTATAATCATCAATTAGGAAGTTATCACAAAAGTTACGTTAAATCACTATTTCTATTATTTGCCAAAACGTTAATAATGTTTATTTATTAAAAATTTGACAATCTTAATCGTTATGCTGTAGTATATTTTATATTCAATAATAAAAGCAATATGTACAGTCACATGTTTATCTCTTTATCCGCATAAATGTTAACATGCTGAAGCACAATATAGCACGATTTCAATTATTTTTAATTTTTTTTCTTTAGTTTCATATTTACCACATTTTATCAGCGATCAAAGTTAAAAATTCACATTTTACAACAGTAGCCATTCTTGGTTATGTCATTAGTGGCTATAGATGATATAAATCAACTTTGGTAATAAATTTTTTAAAACAATTTTAATTCACAGTGTGCGCTAGATAAATAAACCTATAAATATCAATGTCGATTCGCATATGCTTCAATTAACTTAAAGTATATTACGTGTTTAAGTTTTAACGAAAAACCTGTATCTATGCCATAAAAAACTCCACAAAGGGTATGTACATATGTATATGTAGCTTCGCACCTTGATAAATATGAAATAAACGGATAGTAGTTGTAAAAAGTCAATTTATACTTTTATACAACGAACATTTTATGGTATCAATACAAATTTTGCTACCTTAATAAATCCGAAGATTTTCACCAATAAAACCAGTGCCATAATGTCGATAGACATTTATAAAGGATAAGTTACACTAACATGTACAGACATACATACATAAAGATAATGAAATTCAGAATAACATACTATTTATTTAAATTTAACGAATTTTGAAATGCACTTTTGATTTGTTTTTTTTTTTTTTCAATCTGTAGCGACAGTATTAGTATCAGTAATTAGTGTCCAAATAATTTTACGTAGTGGAATATATTCTTAAATGTGTCCGAACTTTCCATATATATAATTCTCGTGTGAAAGTAAGCAATTGCCTAAGAACACTAGTATAAAATTAAATACTCGTATAAACATTTGTTCTCACACAAGTATTACCTGGCGAATCGCCCGTTGCTTAAAACTCTTAACTGACAGCAAATCAAATGCATTGCTTCTGTTTCCACTAATATCGTCATTAGTAAGGAAATAATTTTCTTAGTATTCTATTCATTTTTTACCAGCGTGCAAGAAATAAATGTGACAAAATTGACAATTTCATTAGGCACAGCAAATTGTAAAATACTTTCACACCATAGTAAATTTTTCCCCACCTCATCTCACCATAGGCAAAAAAGATACCGATTGGGCCACAGACCGACTGACAAATTATCTATAGTAAATGGGTTTTCAAGAAGAGGTGTTGTTTTGAATAACCTGTTTTTCTGGTAGATGTCATTCTGGAAGCTGAAATTGTTTGACATTCGACAAGTGAAAACTCCGCCAGCAATATAACTGAAGCAATTAAAATTCACTATACAAATTTCATCGAATAATCTTGACTAATAAGATCCATTACCACCTCGATTGCGACGTCAATAATCAAAACTGCCGATTTGAGACTCGGAAATCAGAGATTTATTGTTGGAAAGCGGCTTATCCTCAATGTGACCTTACTTTTTCGAAAACGAGGCTGGAGTTACGGTGAATGAATTGTGAGCTATCCAAAGATGATTAATGATTTTGTATGGTCGTTTACCTTCAACAAGAAGGCGATTCATGCCACACAAGCACGGAACCATAGATCTTTTAAGAAAAACGCTTTTTTTAATATTCAAACACACCTTTTATTAGAAGGGTTTTCCATTTTTTTAATTTTAAATTACAAATGTATGAAAATCTTAACTCTTAAAGAGTTTCAGTTCAGTTTTATACTGATTACAGGTCTAAATATTTAATGTAATCTAAAACACTCGTATGTGAAGGCCCTCAAAAAGGAGAAACGTAATTTATAAAATTTAAATTTAATTTAGCATTTTAGATTTGAAAACAATAAACAGTTAAGTAGCCTACAGTGCAGTACTTACCTACCTACTACCTTGATCAAAAAGTTCTCGGAATCGCTATCGTGCGACGCTCTCAGTTGCTCGATTTGAGTTTTCTTTTGTTTTTTAGGTTGCTATATTTCTCAGTGACATTTTATACAATTTTCAGCTCGACAGCGTGACATTTGTTAAAGTGATCCCGTCTTGAATGCAATCGGATTGTCAGGGTTCTCGATTTTTATTTTCATGTATAAATTTTTTCGTTGAAAACGGTTTCAACGATGCGAAGACATTGAAAATGTTACAAAAGAATTTCGACCCCGTCGTTTCAATCGAAAAAATACGATGCTAACAGCTTTTATGGATTACAGAGGAATTGTGTATTATGAATCCCTGCCACAAGGGCGTTCTGAGGCGTTTGCGTGAAGCAGTGCGCAAGAAAAGACCGAATTCGTGGGCAACTAACTCGTGGATCTTGCAGTTTAATAATGCGCCGTCGCACAATGCCAATGTTATCCGTGTACGTATGGCTAAAACGAAACGAATACCATTCAACAACAACCAAACTCACTAATCTTGTTCCCTGCGATTTTTTCAATTCGGTCGACTCAAGAAACGCGTTTCAGCATCCGAGAGATGATCATTGAAAAATCGAAGATGACTCTGATAGCCATACCGCAAGCCGAGCCTTGGATCCAAGCGCTGGGATAGATGCGTTGCAGTCGATGGATAGTGCTTTTAAAGGGGTAATATCGATTTTCATGTTTCTCATACTCCAATTTGTGTTGAGCGTTTGGTTGTTTTTCAACAAATTCCCTCACCTTTCGAAATGCTCAAACCACTTACTGTATTTTACGAAGTTAAGGAGGTTAATGATCTCTAGAGATGCATTTGTACCTTGGTTTTTTACTATCCCTATACGGTCAGCTCATCGATCCCGCAGTTTTCTGGGTGCCCACAAGATCAGAGACCCAATCCACGAACGTTTCGAAAATAATTGTTAAAATTTTTAAGCCTTCGAAAGAAAGTAAAAAACATTAACAAGGAAAACGAACTCCTAGACAGATAAATAAAATGAAAATTACTTACTGGTCTAGCAAATTCATTTTCCTACTTCTGACACCTACATAAGAAAAACGGTTTAATTACAAATATTTTAATAGATCCATGCGTGTATTCAATAGTTCAGCATCTGCTTAGAAAACAACCACAAAAATAATTAAAAAATCTAAAAGTTAAAAATCTGAGAAGTGGCAAGTCCTAACATTTCTGAGCAAACACGTTTAGTGTCAAAAATTTCGAAGTGAAACTACCTTATAAAATTTTTGTATCATGGCTTATACACACATATTACGACAATTTAGTATTTAATATATGCATGTACTAGATAGGTATAGTTGGGAGCTACTGTTATTGGAATGTTACTAAGTTGATGATTATATCAAAAAGTGGTGCCATAAATGCTTATTGGTAGCAGAACAAATATACATATTTCTGCCATAAAATCTATAGAAATCCCAGACACATACTCTAATACATATGTATGTATGCACATGATTACCGAATGTGCGTAAATATTATTTACAAGTACGAAATGGATATCATATCGCTACGTTACCCGTTAGCTTTATCAGATCGAAAAAGTAATAAAAAATGTTTTATCTTTCAAGTAGTACCAAAGGTGCTACTATTAGGAGTGTTTTGTGTTTTGCCTCCTTCGAATTATTGTTACTGCACTCTCGCGTTTCAAAGATAAAGAATATTAATATTGCCCATAAATAACAAAATATATTAGGAAATAGCAAAAAATATATAAAAATAAAAAAACAACAGAACAGAAGCACTTCATAAATCGATTGAAATACATACACACATACATGCATGTGTGAAAGATATTGAAAAAGAAAGAATGAACTATAAAATTTAGAAAAAAAAACTGTTTTATCTTTTTATCGCGTTAACAATCATTTTTATTACTCCACAAATGCTGATATTGGCATGCCATTTGTCCGTTTGGTTAGTTGGCAAAGTGTGGTTAATAGGCCGGCTTTGTACGTATGTACTCCTATGTTTACCTTGGTATCTGTACACGATATGCATTTGAAAAACGTCTGCCTGCC